CGCCCCCCCCCCCCCCTCCCTGTCCCCAAGGGCAAGATTCCATGCAATCACATCCCCTGTATTCCCCAAGATATCCCTGTGTTTAGTCCAGGAGTTAATCCCAGGGATAATATTAACAGTGATATAAAAATGTGCGAGAAAACAAAATTATTCCAACCTCTGGATCCAGGAAAGACGAAAGTTTCAGAACAATCCATTTTCCAATATTTATGGGGTGCATAATGCACAAATTTAATTGCATGGTCCAGCAAAATGGTTCTTGTGGCAATCACAGAGTTAAATAAAAGTGGGAGGGAATTTTCATAGAGTACCTGAGGACAAGAATATGAGGAAACTTGAAAATGAGAATGGATTTATAGATTGTTTTATTTATTTATAATACAATTAAAAGACTAGTTAAGAATCTAGTCAAAATGGAAATGATACGAAAAATAACACAAAATAAAAAGCCATAATTATGGTTAATCCATAAGAGAGTCCATGAACCCATATTAAAACAGATCACTGTTAAAGCTAAATATTAAAACAAAATTACAACAGAACTACCTATCAAAGATATTTTGCTTAAGTTAATAAGCTAAATAAAAACTGTGGCTTTCTGCTTAAGTTTATTAAGCATAAAACCTCTACATGTAATGTTTATCACTCACCGTCGCTATTGTTTGTACTCTCGTCTTCATCTTGACAAAACTTGGCATAATCGACTTTTTTACGTACTCTGCGAAGAGACATTCAAAGTGGAACGACAAAATGAGACGAACAGTCGCAACTGTAGATAATTAAGCCAACAGCCTGATCTGAATATTAAGCTTAAATTTCTGATGCTAATTTGTTCGTTCTAAACACCGTCGGCTGTTTAAACATAGAATTTGTCAAAATGATCTTCCAATCTGCCGCTTTGTGACAAGGGAAATAAAAATGTCGCTCACAACATGACATACTTGAATTGTAATTGTAAACTGAATCAATTTTCGTAATAAATGCGAACGTTACGTCGATAAAATATTTAGCGACACGACAAATAAAAGCATTTCATTTTCGTATGATGATTCCATGGGAATCACACGGGACTCCTTCACCGAGAACAGAAACAATTCTTTCACAAGGTTATTACCTGTCAGATCTTCTCCCCAATGACATACCAGTACTTCCACCACTTGAATACCCTCAAGGAAAAAACTCAGAAATAAGAAAAACCCTTTTGTTGTGTTTTTGAATTTCTTGATTTGTAATCAATCGTGTTAATGAATTGGCGCCAAAACACTGGTTACCGCGATGGAAGTTTCCAGCGGTGGAAAGCATGCGTGTTCGACGCCTTGGACAAGAGAAGATCAAGATTCGGTCGATTCGATCTCGATGAAAAATCTCTTGAAATCTGCAGATCTCAGGGCATCAGCAGCTTTTTCACCATGGTACGTCTTGGGCGTTGTTTTACGCTCTTTAGGACGGTCGCAGAAAAAGCAAGGAACCGAGCGTTACTGCGTGAATCTCGAGAATTGCCGGACAAAGGGCTTTATCATGGAGAGAAATATGTGTTTGGACACAGAACTACATGGTCTGGAAAAAAGTAAGCTCAAATATTTTGTCATTGGTCATTATTTTTTTTGCCTTAGAACTGAGGAGATGAAGGATTGAGCCATGAATGTCCTTAATTGGAAATTCCATTGTTGTATTTGTAACCACCCCCCCCCTTGGGGGGGGGGGTACTCTATGTGGGCTATGGGTATGTACGGCCCCAGAGGGCAGGGTTTTCAACCGTTTTGATCATAAAATAGGATATCGATTTTGGCCATTTGGCCATAGACAGGGCATGGTTTTTGCCCTCTTGTCTTGCACTGGGTGTGCAATAGGGTAGGGAAAATCACAGATTTTGGTCATAAATAAGTTAAGAGTTTTGGGAAGCAGACCGCACACCCCCACTCAAATGTTTTTGGGAATACCCTCCCAGGCCAAAAACCAGGGTACATTGGAGAAGTGCAGCTGGGGGGTACTTACCCGGGTAGGGAGGGGGAAACTCTGTTAGGTTTGGATGGTTGTGCTGTCTCCGAGTTTGGGCCCTGTTGTGCATGCCACCCACACTAACCTTGTGCTAGAACATTGGGCTGCTCTTGAAAATATACACAACCTGGTTTTTGAAACGATTCCCCTTGGCTGGTTACCTTCCTTGGGTTTGGTATGGATATTTACTCAAACCACACATCGATAGACCAGTGAGGAAACTTTCTTGGAGTCAAAAAACACAGTAACATTTTATAGTTTCCTGGCCTGAGGATGCTGGGATTTCATAGAACGCTGACAAGTTATCCTAAAATTAATATCCTAATTACTTTCACAGAACCCCACGTGTGTGGAAGCCACATGTTTTCAAAAGAAAATTTTACAGTGAGGTGTTAGAACAAGAACTGCACATAACTGTGAGTATCAAAGCTCTGAGATGCATTGACGAAGCTGGTGGGTTTGACAATTACATCATCAACACTCATGAAAGAACACTGGATTCCAAATTGGCTATTGACCTCAAGAAACTTATGATAAGTGTTCTGAAGTGTAAAGAGGAAGGTGTTGGAATGGATCAGATCAGAGAGGAGGTTTTTCCAAAGCCCCCTCCAAGTCGTCATATTTATGTGCCAAAGGTTTATACTGACAGATTCTACTTTGACTGGAAAGGACCTCGCAAGCAAATGATTTTTTGTTAAAGTTTGATTGAAATAAGTGAGGAGTCTTTTAAAAGAAATTTGTTCCCATTGCAACAAGAGAAAACTTAAACGGTGCACCCTACACTTATANTATTGATAAACTGTCAAAAAGTCTAACTAAAGGTTTTCTCTATAATGGACAAATATATTAGGAAGCAATAATAGACCCAATGCTTGAAGGATACAATATTATTTTGAGGAGATACCAATGTCTTACACCCACAGTCAGTGACTACTAGTATAAGTACAGAAGCTGTGTCAGTCTGAAATACTAATTTAAGGCAGAAATATGAATAGATCATGATTTTTTCCTGGCAAATGGGATTTCTGAAGAGAATTCAGAAAATCCCTCAAAAACTTCAATGAATTCACTAAACTATTCACTACTGAAAACCATAAATTTGTAATCCTTTTTCCACTACCTTTATTTTAGTGCCTAATCTTAAAAGATTCTTTCTGTGAGAAGAAAATTAATTTTTCACTCTCAGTTAACTGGTTAAAGAAGCTATGTCAAAGATTTATGAATTGGAGCACTTGTAGCAAAAACTGTTAAATGATAGTTGACTAGTACTAAGATAGAAAAACATCATAAGTGTTTTGACAAACCAAAAAAGGGTTTGCTAATAAGGTTAGTAGAATCTAAGAATGAACTTGAAATATTTTGGCCAACATTCGCAAGATGTAACTATCTGTAACATAGCTCCTTTAAGCCGTTCACTTCATTCCAGTTTACTGATTAAGCAGTCTAACTAGCTCCTGTTCTGGTTGAGATCTAATCCTTCTTACTCTACCAGCCAGTTCTAAGCACTTTTGGCGGTCTAGTGGTTCAAACAAGTTAAAATCTCTGATGAAATAATGTGGACAACTTTTCTGCTGTAAACAATTTTCAAGCCTGTGAAGAAGGCCTAAGAATCGCTCACCCAGACAATTAGTGCTCCACTGTTGGGATTGAGGTTTTGCCTCACACTC